ATTAAGGAAATACATCAAACATTCCATAAATAACTATGATAAATATGATATCAAGTTATCACATAATAGGAATGACTTATTATTTCTTTAAACTTCCTATATCATATGTCCTACACAAACTGAATCTTATACATAATGATATTTTATTATACCGTTAAATAATGATTCTCTATATCCAATTCATCCTACACATTTAATCTCAATTGCTAAAATATTTTAAAAGATTAAATCCATTCGTTTGTTTAAAACATTCAAATAGCAAGCATCATTATGATTGAGTCTATTCAAATTTATGAAAACCCAAACCTAGTCCCTATTTAATGTTCAGGAATCCTAGGTATATTTCTATGTTCCATCATTCCACAAATATGAAAAATACATAATTTAAACATGTAAAAATTCACATAAGAAATCAAATCAAAATCATGCATTTTATCAATTCATAACACAAGAATAGATATAAACCAATTTCATAAAACCTATGTTCTAACCCAATTAAACATGCATAATTATTTAATTTTATGTGTTTAATAAATTCTGGAATTTCCTAGGCATGTACAGAAACACAAATCAAAGGGAAAGAGATAGAAGAAGAACTTGCCTTAAACTTTCGAATCGAAAGTTAAACTTCTTCTTCCTTGATCTTCTCTCTACAGGGTTTTCTCCTCATTCCTTCTTCTTTCTCATTCTCTCTCTAACTCTTTCTCTATAGAATATATTACGTGATATATTTTCACTCATTTTTCAACCTATAGTTGTGTATTTATAGGCTAAATAATAACCCTATTCCTTTTCCCAATCCAAGTCAACTTAATAAAGAAAAATAAAAAATAAAAATATTAAAAAGGTAACTTAAAATATGTTACGTATATAATTTATGTATATCCTTATTAATTAAATAAAATATATACATTAGATTATTTATTAATACTAAAGTTACCATAATACTAAAAGGTAACTTAAAACATGTTACGTATATAATCTATCTATATCCTCATTAAATAAATAAAATATATACATCAGATTATTTATTTATACTAAAGTTACTATAATATTAAAAAGTAACTTAAAACATGTTACGTATATAATCTATCTGTATCCTTATTAAATAAATAAAATATATACATCAGATTATTTATTTATACTAAAGTTACCATAATATTAAAAAGGTAACTTAAAATATGTTACGTATAAAATATATGTATATCCTTATTATATAAATATATAAAATATATACATCAGATTATTTATTAATACTAAAGTTACTATAATATTAATAAATTACTTTCCTTTTTATATATATGTATATACATATATATCTATATATATACATATACAACTATCCATGTGTAATTATCCATACCCATCCAACCTCCTATTCAAGTAGTCCGTGGGACCCAATTAGTTAGTCCATTACCACTAATCATAACCATAAAATAAAATAAAATAAAATAAAACATTTAATCATTTAATTTATAATTAATTACAATTAATCAAATACATCATTTAAGTGCACAATCTAATTAAACAAATAATACAAATAACACCTAGACAAAATACAAATAACACATAGATAAGTAGCCAATTAACCAAGTAACACTTAATTCAATTAAACATATAAACAATTAGTCAAATAATCAATTAAACAATTAAAAAAATATAATAAAAATAAATAAATAAATACCGAGACTATCCTTTTAAAATTAGGGGTATTACACAAGTATTGTCTAAACATCATGTGAAGAGCATAATATATCTAAACAATAGAGCATATATTGTCTAGACAACATGGGGATAGCACAATGATCAAAACAAGTCATTAATCCTTCATTAAGCTCACAATCCACATGCAACACAATGTTAGAGGAATATGCCATTTGGACTCACAAGCATGGAACATCAAACATCAAGAGTAGATTGTCCTCCCATCTAACATTTCACTACCACTACACTAAATCTACACTACTAGCATGAAAATAAAGCTATCTAGACTAGGGGAGAGGCACAAACCATCAAGAATAGGCAAAAGCCATCAAATGAACCAAAATAGCATTCATTAAGCATATCATCTTGATAATCTCTAGATCTATAGCATCAATACACATAGACATGCATCAAAAACACTAAATCTAGAAATAAGCACATGAATATCCTACTCTAGCATACATAGACATATGGATAGAATAGAATAGTCAATTGGAAGCATTAAACCATACAAACCATGAAATAATCAAGATTTATATATACATGAATATCAAGATGTATCATACAACACTAATCCCTCAATAATACACAAGATTAGAGTATAGAAAGCATGCTTGGGGCTAACTCTAGCCCCAAGAAGATGTCTAGCCACTCATGGTAGTGATGATCCAACCCTCAAGGGCTAACTCCATGGCTGCTCCTTGTTGGTGAAGATCTCCTCCAATGGTTACTCTAGCTTCCTCCCTTCTTCCTCTCCAAGAATAGCCTCCAAGATGATTTTCAATGTGTGACAAGAGACTCTAGAGCCCTCTCCAAAAAGTGTATCATATTTCTTATATAGGTAGGTCAAATACACCCTATGATGAGCTGTGGTCGTGCAAGGCATATTCTCCAATGATTGGATGAAGGACGGAATAAATGAGCAGGACTTTAACTTTTTCTCGCTGGAGGAAGTTCGATCGATCGATCGAACCTTAACTTGGATCGATCGAAGATGGGTTCGATCGATCAAACTGCATCTTGGATCGATCGAAGTGGTCTGACTCCTCTGGATAAGGACAAGGCTGAGATATTTCGAAGATATTTATGGGGAAAAGGACAAAAGTGGTTGGTAGGCGTATAGCTGTGGATAAGATCAATCATTTGAATATGACAAAATAGGGTTCGATCGATCAAAGGTGATGTTCGATCGATCGAACTTGGAATTTCAGCAAAGGCCAAGTTTGGATCTATCGAGAAGTACTGTGATCGATCATAGATGTTCGATCGATCGAACTCTAAGTTAGATCGATCGAACTTTTCAACTGCACAACTTAATTCTTTTTTGCTCCTTTCTTTCTCCACTTTGCTCCCTCCTTGCGTTTATCTCAGGATTGCTTCAATTAAGCTCTTATTTGGCTGAGTTAGCTCAATTTTGGGATTGGTGCCTGAAAATATAAATAACACGCAATAAGTCTAAAACGGAAAAGTAAGATAGATAAATGTACTAGAATGCTTAAGCTTAACGGGTTTAAATGCGCACTTTTCGGTGCTCATCAATTGCTATGATTTGTTTAGTTTGGATTTTCTAAGGGTCCACATAGTATGGATTCTCGAGTTGTATTTTAGAGAATCAGTTGTATCAGAAGAGTTTATTAATTAATGGAAATATATTCTGAGGTTTATTATTAGATTATCATTTTAGTTTCTTGTCAGCTTATTTATTCTTCTTTATTCTTTTGTACTCTATATTCGTTTATTATCGATTTTATTTTTGATATCCTCGGGTATTCGGGCGTGGGCCTGGCCAACCCGCATTCGGAAATCCGGGGGTATCACATGGTTGTCAAATATTCTACCTCTATCACTTCTAATAGTTTTAATCCTATATTCTTTTTCATTCTCGACTTTTTTACAAAATTTAAAGAAAATTGTACAAGTCCCATTTTTGTGTGTAAGAAAAAATACCCAAGTGAATCTAGAGTAGTCATCAACAATGACAAAGGCATAGAGCTTTCCACCAAGACTAGTTACTCTCTCTGGACCAAATAAGTTCAAATGAATTAATTCAAGTGGTCTTGTAATCGTTATGTCCTTTTTTCTTTTAAATAATAACTTGATTTGCTTGCCTATTTGGCATGCATTACAAGTTTTATCTTTTGAGAAATTAGCCTTTGGGAGGCCTTTGACTAACTCATGCTTAGATAATTTTGAAATCAATTCCATGTTAGCATGACCTAATCTCCTATGCTACAACTAACTATTTTTATTTGAAGATACAAGGCACTTAACATCTTGATCATGCAATTTACATAAAAGTAAAGTATACACATTACTATTTCTAAGAGCACGAAACACTTCATTGTTATTCTTTTTAATAATGTATTTATCCGATTTAAATAGCGCATCATAACCTTTATCACATAGTTGACTAATGCTAAGTAAGTTATGTTTTAAGCCTTTGACAAGTAACACATCATCAATAGATAAGGAAGAAGAGATACCAATAGATCTAATGCCAATGACCTTGCCTTTTGAGTTGTCTTCAAACGTGACATTTCTTCCTTTGTGAGGCTTGATAGAGAGAAATTTTGAACAATCTCCCATCATATGTCTTGAGCATCCACTATCAAGGAACCACTTGTCCTTGGATGATGATGAAGTCTTCAAGCAAACCTACAAAAAGAATTTAAGTAATCTTCTTTTGGTACCCACATTTTCTTAAGTCCATGGGAGTTAGGAAGAAGTATAAATGTTCCTTTAATAGCCCAAATTTCTTTTATCTTGCATGGCCTAATGGGACAATGATTAATCTTATATCCTAACCTTTTACAATAATTGCATTTTGGATTTTAAGAGGAATTTTTAATAAAATAGTCATTCAAAGGTTTTATCTTTTTTGTTAAACAAGAATCTTTATTGTGAGAATCATATCCAAGTCCATCCTTAGCGTAAGCATTTCTTTGCTTACCAAGCATAAGACTTAAATTCTCTCTCCCTTTTGTGAACTTGGCTAAAGTCTCAATTTGATCCTCAATTATGACTTTCAAGGACTTATTTTCGGAGACTAAATCAATAGATGCTAATTCTTTAGCTAACTCACATTCTTTTTCCTTTTTCAATGCTTCATTTTCAAGAAGAGATTTTTCAAGCTTTTGAAAGATAATGTATTTTTCTCTTTTAAGACTAACACATTTTTGAACCATCTTGCCTAATTCGTCATGCAATTCTTTAAAAGCATCAAGTAAGTAATTGTGAGCATCAACTAATTTATCATAAGTAGTCTCTAAATCAAATGAGTCATGGTTTGAGTTTACCTTATCTTCATCGGCCATGAGACAAAGATTGACCAATTCATAAAGTTCATCATCACTTCCGGATCCATTTGAATCATCATCCTCCCATGTAGCACGCATGGCTTCCGTTCCTTTTCATTTTTGTATGCATAACAATCCGATTTGAAATGCCCCGATTTTTCACAATGAAAACAAGTGGGTGTTTCTTTTTTTCCTTGTTCACTTGTGGAACCACTTCTTTTGAGATTGTTGCTCTTTTAGTACTTCTTCATTTGAAGGACTCTTCTCACGGTTTTGGTGATGAGTGCAATTTATTCTTCTTCTTCTTCATTATCAAGAGCTTTCTCAACTTAAACCTCTTTGGTAGTGGCTTAAAGAGCTAGGGCCTTGCTTGGATTGCATTTCAGAGAACAGTTCTCAATAATAGTTTTTAGAGAACAGTTTTCAGTTTTTTCAGATTTTAAACCTGTTTGGTTAAGAGAATTTACAAAACAGTTTTCAAAAAATAAAAACTCATAAAACTACTTGGTTGTATGAGTTTTTTAAAATAGTTTTCTAAACTAGGAAAATATATAAAAATATTATTATACCTCACTTTTTATTTCTTTAATTTATGATTTTAACTATTAATGTAAATAAGTGTTGGAGGTAAATTCATTTTAACTAGTAGTCTTAACTTAATAGCAGTTGCATAAATACATATATCAAGTTTAATTACAATCCTCTTTTTGCATAACTCCAAAATGAAGGCTCTGTTTGGTGTTCGGGAGCAAGCTGGCGTCCAAAGATCTCTTTGAAGTCATTGAAGTTTGAGGAGTTTGGAGTCTAAGTTTTGAAGTTTTGGTTAGTGCTACTATGCAAGCTGGTGTTGAAAACATTGTTGTGTCATTTTGAGTTATATTATCCTTAAGATAAGGACTTTTGTTTATATGATTGTATTTTGTTTCCCCTTTATGGGGCTCTATGTACATTCTTCCTAAATTTAAATACAATAAAAGAGGTACATGAAAAATTATATATTAAACATAATAAAAGGTACACCAAAACAAAGTTTCCATAACATAAAACATAATAAATTGTCCCCCACACGAATATAATATAAAGTCACATGCATAAAAAAAACAAAGAAAAAAAAAAAAAAAAAAGAAGGCATAAGGAAATTGTTCAATAACACATAAAACCAAATATGTGTTTCAAGTTACATGCAACCAAAAACTAAACCCTGCATTCAGTAACCACCCAAGTCAGTCCAAGCTCTTCAACCAAGCAAACTTCAAGTCAGTCCAAGCTCTTCAACCAAGCAAACTTCCTGGAAATACTCATCTTAATGAACAATTCTCTATAATGCAATTCCTTGAACTTTTCAGTTGCTTTCAAATATATGTCATCATTTATCTCATCAAGACCCTCAAGGCATTCAATACAATTACTTAGAGAGTATGCTTCTGGACTAGTTGCTTTTTGAGTATGTTTCATTTTCTTATATGTCTCCGCCTTAGCTAATGAAGCTTCAGTCCTTGCTTTGGAAGCTTCAACAATACAAGCAAGAGTGTCACTAATGGAATATTTTTTACTCTCCTTTTTTGCACGACGATCAGAGGATGTGGATTTACGACGACGAGGATTATTGTCTTCAACTAGAATATTATCTAAATCATCTTGACCTTCAGCAGTTAAACTAATATGGACACCTGTATTCATAAATTGATCCTCCTGCTCTCGTTCTTCATCTGTATTAGGTGGATCTTGAGTGGATGCATAGTGAAGTTACCCAGTAACAGTCGACGTATTAAAAAGAACTCCCAAAAGTTTATAATTTTCACAACCTTTAATGCAAAAATACTTAGCATTGGGATGAGCCTGAAAATATATATATATATATATATATATATATATATATATATAAAGATTGTTAGGAATAACCATGTTTAAAAATTAAACTAACTATTATAAAATAATTAATTAAATACAGATTTTACCTGCAAATATGTTTACCAAGTTTCTTCATCAGCAGTCACAGTGTTTGTTTTCGCATCCCAACCAAACCAAGTTGTCTCGTTTAGAAGAGTTGAAAACTCATAATGCTTTGTACGTAATCGATTAAATTTTGCCTTTAGTTGCCTCACATTATAAGCGTGATTAGTCTTTATTTTGAACTCCTCTGCAATCTCTTTCCAACACTTGGAAGTAAATATCCCAAATGGCATGTTCCCCTTGTTAATCTCCTCAACCATTATATCAACAAAACATCTCTTTAATTGTGTAAACCACAGAGCTGACTCTTCAACATCAGCAATTTGAGATGTCATCCTTTAGTTGTGCATTAGGCAAAGAATTACAAGCAATAAAAGATTTTCACACAACTCAAATATATATCATACCCATAAAGTTAATCCACCTCTGAACATAATTTCTAATCCAAATTGATAATGCTAATCCAACAGTTAAGAATCAAACAACCTTTAAATATATAGAAACACCAGTAAAATATTTAGAAGCTGTACACACACCATTCCAGTCACTGATTTAATTATGGCCTGAGTTTCACACATATATGATAAGATTCGACCACAATGATGATAGAAGGTCGGCCTGCTCCACCCAATCTTCATGTATAGTATAGCTCTATATAAATTATTTCTAGATGGGAATTAATGGACCCTACATGTGATGGTAATTAACATACTTTATAACTAAACTATATAATATGTGTGTGTGTGTATTATAATATAGGGTGATGATTAAGCATGTTTATTTAACTATACCTTCATGTTGAAGCTTACTATGTATCTGAAACCTTAGTAGCCTTCATTTTCTCATTCAGTCACTTCTCTTAGTTTCATGGATTTTGATTTGAAGCCAACAGTTTCCGAAGCACATTCGGAGATACAAGTTCACACTTGTGGCCACTTATGATTTGAGTATTGTAGTTGTCTTTCTTGTGGCCACTTATTTGGTTCCTCTTGCATTAAAAGATGGCTTCAAGGAGATACAAGTTCACACTCTAGATATTGTTCAATACCATTTTTTGTCCTCCTTGTTTTGCTAAATTATTGTTATATACTTTTGTTTATATATTCCTTTCCTCAATATATATTTTCTTTTCTATTCCTTTTTTAATGCTTGCAGGGTTCATTATACAACAATTACAGGAGGTGGGCTCTTACTCTGTAATTTCTAGAGTTTTATTGTTTTGTTATTGGATGATAGGGGTGGTGGTTCTGTATTTTGGGTCTAGTTAACTTTTTGTGTTTCATTTTAAATGGTGCAGGAACAAACAAAAACACAAACCTCTCTATATATATATAGTTCAATTTTAATATGATAGTACTTAAATATCTTATATATATATAGTTCAATTCAAACCTAGTAAAATATCTCATAAAAAAAAAAAAAAAAAAAAAAAAAAAAAAAAAAAAAAAAAAAATCAGTAAGAATCAAACAAGTTCTAATATGATAGTACTTGCATCTTTGGAAAACCATTATTTTTTTAGCAACTAGGAATCTGCCAGGAGCACAATTTCATTGTTTTGGCCATTACATAATGGAAGAAAACTATATATATATATATATATATACATCATTTACCAGACCAATTACCAAACAACTTCTAAAGCCAAAATGATTGTCCAATCCCAATTATATTGTAATGGGCTATTGAAATTTTCACGAACATAAACACAGAGAGGCTAAAAACATTTGATGGTTTAAAATGTTATATGTGGCACTTCTAACCTTCAACCATGCTTCATCGATGTTAAATGCAGCACAATATCCAGTGCTGAATGCATAATAAATGGGGCACAATATCCAGTGCTGTTAGTAACTTAGTATTATATAATTCACGGTCCTTTCACAAAGTAACAGAAATTGCAATGTCAAAGAAGAAATTACAACCGCATAGATGCAATAACACAAATCACAATTAAATATGGACCACAACATAGAATCTAAAAATTGCATTTTGGAATTCGGATTGTTCTCCCATAGGGACGGTTTGTTTAAGGGAGTGGAAATTGAGGCAAAGGGGACCATATATATATATGCAGACTAATTTATACATACACATATCAAATCCCTAAACTGAAAACCAGATCCCTAAACTGAAAACCCCAAATCCCTAAACTGAAAATCAAATCCACAGCAAAACTCACACAACCAACAAAATACATAATCATATCTGCAACCAAACTCATCTAACCAACCAAATCTATAACCAAATTCATAAAGAAAACAAAATCCATAACCACAAAAACTTGCTACAGAAAAAAAGTGTGATTTGTGTTTACCTCAACAAAATCTGAGCAAAAGTTGGATCTAGAGGAGAGAAGTGTACGCAGTGATCTTACAAAGAGAAGCCGTAGAAAGGAGAGAGAAGCCGTAGAGAGAGGAGAGGTGTTGTAGAGCCCCTTTTTGGAAGAGGCGTAACAGGTGTGTTATGTCCGAGATAGGTGCTTCCGTTTTTTTTTTTAAGTGCACAGTGTTCTGCGCATTACTTCTCCGTGTTTTCAGAAACTCCCAAAACAACATTTTGTTGTTCTCATAAAACTGATACTCAGTGATCTCAGTTTTATGAAAACAGTTTTCATAAAACAAGTTCCAAGTAGACTAAAAAATTGAAGAACTGTTTTTTGTAACTCCCAAAATAGAAAACTGTTTTGGGAGAACCATTCCAAGCAAGGCCTAGATCTTTCTTGTGAGTTTCTTTGTTGTCATCTCCATCATTCATCTCTAACTCATATGCCATCAAGAAACCAATGAGCTCATCAATAGGAAGTGTGTTGAGATTTTTAACTTCTTGAATAACGGTTTTCTTCGCTTCCCAATTTTTAGGTAAGGATCTAAGAATTTTTCTCACATTTTCGGATGATGTATATGACTTTCCAAGAGCCTTCAAAGGATTGACAATGTTATAAAGCGAGAATACATTTCACTGATTGTTTCTTTGTTGTTCATGGTAAATAATTCATATTTATGGATAAGCATGTTCATTTTAGATTCCTTAACATGACTAGTGCCAACATATGTAATTTCAAGTTTATCCCAAATCTCTTTGGCCGTTTCACAATCCGAAACTCTATTGAATTTGTCTTTACTTAGAGCACAATAGAGATTTGTGATAGCCATGACATTACATTGAATAAGCCTACACTCATTTTGAGTCCACTTATCATCGGTTTTTGGAACTCTTTGACCTTCAACAACTTTGGTTGGAATATGATCACCTTGTTTGGTAGCTTTCCAAGCATCGATGTCAAGACCTCTTAGAAATGCTCTCATTTTAATTTTCCAATAGTTATAATCATTTCCATCAAACCAAGGACGTCTATTGTTAGATTGACCTTCTTGATGAAAATTGGCCATGATCGTTCTCTAAGATGATTAGATCTTTAACTAGAGATTAGGCTCTGATACCAAAACCAATGCAAAAGTGCAAATTGTCCTATTTTTGTGGGTCACTTTTCAAATTTTACAAGTTTTTTACACTTCAAAATATATAATCTTCGAGTGTGTTACAACTTACAAGTTGATAAAACTTCAATATGATGAACATGAACCTTTAAATCATCAAGCTCTCTAGTTAACAAAGACTTAAAAAATGAAAATTACAACTTGTCATAGCTATGGATTAAAATATGCCAACACTTATACAATTACATTTCTAACAAAGTATTGTCAAATTAGTAAAAAGGTGTTGAGATTAACCATAACCATAACCATAACCATAACCATAACCATTACCATAAGCTAATTTTGCATAGAGATGAATAGGTGTGTAAGTTTCTTGTCAATAATAATAATAAAACCAATAAAAAACGTAAAATATTGTTCCTAATGATATTATAGGAAGTAACAACACACATGCCAATTAACTATCTTTATTTTTTAAACAAAGTAAAATAAGTATATTTTATTGGATTCATTCACATAGACTCCACTCGGATCCATCCAAAAATTGTGTTTTTGATATATTTGAAAGTTGGCTAAAAATAATAATAAACTATTAAATAATCCCAAACCAGTAAATTTATCGTGATAAAATATTTAATGATACTTAATTATTCGTAAATAATTTTGTTTAATAAAAAAATCATTCTACTACTATAATAAATTAATACAATCCAACAAAATATATAGTACAATTAGATAGATACAATGTACATAAAAAAAAAAAAAAAAAAAAAAAAAAAAAAAAAAAAAAAATGAACCAAAATTCAGACGACTACCATCATCCATTCACGTGCAGCAGTTGATGGATTCTGTATTTGCTCCCCAAGTCCCCACCATAAATTTAAAATGGTAGCAGAAAGATACCAAAAACTAGGGGTGAGCAAATAATTCGTCAATTCGGTCCGAACTAATTTGATCTGTGTGGTTCGATTCAATTTTCAGATTTCATGATTTGGTGATGGTTTGTAAAATTTACGATCCCAGCAAAGTATAGGTAAGTCCATACTTGCTAGGGGTGTTCAAAAAATCCGAAAAACCAAAAAATCGAACTAGATCGTATTGAATTGGGCGGTTTGGTCTAATTGTATAACGGTTTGGTCCGGTCCAAAGCCCAAAATTATGGAACCGTAATTTTTTGGTCCGGTCCTGATTTAGGGTCGTGCTGGACCGGACCAACCCGGACCGAACCGTTACTATGTTATATAATATATATTTATATATGTATATCATATCCTAAACCTAAATCAATTAAAGTTCTCACGTGCCCCCTTTCTTTCTTTTATTCTTTAAATTACTTAATTATTTTTTAAAAAAAAGTCAAATTTCTTTTTTCAAATATATCTCAATTTTCTTTCCTTTCAAATATATATCAATTTTCTTTCCTTTTTTTCTTCTTAATTTTTATTTTATTTTATTTATTTATTTATTTTGCGTATTATATCAATGTTCGTTGATATATATATATATATATATATTAAAAAAAACTTTGCCCCTTCTAAATTAAAATAAAATAAAATAAAATCAATTGAGACTGACAAACTGAACCGAACCAAACCGGTTTTTTGTGGTTTGGTTCCATGAATATTACGGTTCGGTCTGGTTTCAAAAATAGTGGAACCGTTATAAATGATTTGGTCCCAAAATACTCTTAATCCGGTCCAAATCGGACCGTGTGCATTTATTGGGCCTTTGGCAACTTTAAATCCAAGAAGTCCAAATTCAGTAGTGAAAAATTAAAAAATTAGGGTTTTGATTTAACTATCTTGATCGGTTTGAATTAATACTGTCTCTCTAATGAATGGATTTATCATAATTCTGTAGCTTGAATCATTGTAGATTCAATTAATATATTTAATTAATTTGTTTGTTGCGATTTCAAAATCATAAGAGTTTATATTCGTCTATTTTCTTTAATCAATATATTCATTTTAATTGATGAAACTAGAATCGTTGAGTTTATTTAATTTATGGTTTGCAACATTTCTAGCCATAATTAGTTTGTTTATATATACATATAAATATATTTTTTTCATTGTGTTTTTTTAAATAAAATAAAATTAATTTTTTTGATTTATTTATTTATTTATTTTTTGTACCTATGTCATATTTGATTAGATGTAAGCAAAAAAAAAAAAAAAAATCGGTAAACAATAGTGTAATATTTTTGGCTTAAAGTTCGACCCCCCTAACCATGGGATATTGCCTCACTTCGCCCCTGTGCACACCGATGCTAGTTGCCAACCCCTTCCATGTGAATGAACCCCTCCTTCGTGTGGATGAGGTGACGACTCTCGCTACATTCAAACAAAGTTAAAATTTTAGACAAATATGAAAATGAAATTAACAAAATTAAGCCAAAATTCAAAGAATATGAGGTCGGCTTGGTTTGTAATTTTAGAATAGTTTTTTTATTTTCTGAGACTTGAAATAAAAAAATTATTCAAAAACTCTACCAGACTCATTTTCTTGAAAATTGTTTTCTGAAAATTCACTTATAAAAAATGTCTACAACTTTTTTTTTATAATTATCTAAAAATAATTTAATATTTTCTGAATTCTTGTAAGATACCTTCACCTATGTTTGTGTAATACGTGAGGTTGAAAAAAAATCATTATTGTAATAGTCGGTAAGTAACGCTTTTGAACATGGGACAAACAAAGGCAAAAATTTAAATAAAGTGGATTAAGAAGATTAGGAAGGGGGAGATGTTGTGAGGGTAATAGTAAAGTTTTTTTTTTTTTTTTTAGGCAGTAGTTAAGTTTTTCCTCTAATTTTAATGAGAGTAATTTTAAAATTTTATAAGTGAGAAAATAATAGATATAAAATACCACCCAAAATTTAAAAATAATAAGAAATAAGATAAGTAGGTGCCTGGTTGGTTATGCTCACAATCTCAATGCCACCCTTCATTATTATTATTATTATTATTTTGTTAATTTTTTTTAGTAGAGTAGTGTATCACTGCACTTTAGAATCGACAAGACTTGCCATTCATATTCATCGTTAATGTGGTTGAACCACAAATGCACAAATAGTATGTAATTACAAAATCAATAAAGAAATAAATAAAAACAATATATGTGTGCATTTATAATTAGGCCACATTAGCGTGACTACGAATGAAAAAAAAATAATAATAAAGTGAGTTACTTTTGGAATATAGGTGCTTTTAAAAAAAAAAAATCACCATCCATGTTTTTTTATGTGACGCCAATACAGTCTTGTGTCCATTATATTACCTCATCAACAAAAATAATAAACTAAATAAAAATAAACAAACAAAGACAAAATTTTAAAGAAAATAAGTTACCCGGTTTACTTTATTTATTTTTTATTTATAAAAAATACACTCACACATTTAATTTATTCCTTTTGAAACTTGAATCTCAAATTTTTACTTTAATCGGTGAAAAATATCAGTAAACTATAATGTCTTTCGGTACCTTTCATTCTATTGAATCTATTCGATTACGACACCCAATTAACCCAACCCAATTACGATAAGGTAGTACTTCTAGTAACCCAACCAACCCAACCCAACCCAACCCAATTAACCCAACCCAACCCAATCGCCTTGGGCCTCAAATTCTAGAGGGCCTCAAAATAGGGGGATAGGAAAAGAAAAAAAAAAAATTGAAGTTAGGGCAAGTTTTTCAGACGACACAATCTGCTTCGACACTGCGCAGATTGCAGCCTCCGCTATCGCCTCAGGCTCAGGTGACAAGGTATGTTCATCTTCTCTCTCTCTTCTCTCTCCTTTTGCATGAATCGATCTTTTATATATGTTTCTTTCTTTCGTTTATCTCATCATTTGATTTGTTCTAACTTTGGTTTGTTTGATTCGGGCCTTTACCTGTTCCAATAGTGAAAATAGCTTCCAAACTAGGGTTTTGTGTGTGTGTGTGTGTGTGTGCGATGGCTATCAAAAGTTTAATGAATATATTATGGTTCTCTTAGTGTTTTAATAAATGTGTGCCTTTCTACATGTGTCTTTCATGGCGATCGAGTCCATAATCTATGGCAGGTACTTTTTTATTGCCCTCCCCCTAATTCCACTCCAATCTCACAACAGCAGCAACCATACCCCTTTTCCTCATAATTTTGAATTTTCACATTCAATCCCACGAAAATTTAGGATCCCTTATAGTGGGTTGAGGTAATAATTAACTTTTTTTGATCTCTAAATTATGCTCATAGTGCCAAATTAAGGGTTTTATTTATTTATTTATTTTTATTTTGTTTTTATATGAAGATACATTCCACCATTATTGATGTTATTTGAAGTTGGCTCAGCTAGAATTTCAGTTAATAATACTGCCAAAGCATTTGCCATCAGAATGTACAAACACATGGAAATCAAGAGCAGGCTTTAACAAAACAAAAGTTAATGGTTTTTCCTATTAATTTGCACAGGTCTTCTGTAGCAATGATCAATCAATCACTGCTACTAAAGTTCGTTCCTCATCCTGAAATCAAGAAAGGGGTAATTGGCTCCCAAAAAAACACACACAAAGTGTAGGTAATATAAATAGTGAAAGACAACTATATATGATAGTGGATGCCACATATAACCTAAAAGTCCCACTACTTCTTCAGCACTACAAGTTCAGCCTCATATATATATATATTCACCTCATCTCCACATATTTTTGTCATCTGTAATCATCAAATCACTTTTGGACTGTTTTTTTGGATACTTTGTTTTGTTTTCTCTCCTCTCCTCTAGATTCCAGTGAAATCTCCAGCCAGGAGATCATTCGACTAAACTGCTTGATTTTAGATTTTTTTATTTTTTTATATTATATTTATTGTATGATCGGCAATGCTTAGTTATTATTGTTTCTGTTTGATTCTCCATCCGTTTTATGTTAATTGTGATCTTCTTTCTCATGCTAGCAGGACACTGTTCTTAGGATCTAGTGAGGTTATTTGCCTTGAACTTGAATCAAATCATTGCATATTGAGGTAATATATATTTTCTTTAAACAAAGCAAATTATTATTATTATTTTTTTCAAGTCTAGTTTTATGTTGATTATGGTTCCTGTTATTTAGATTTCAAGAGATTTCATTATGTCTACAAGAAAATTTGAATCTGGACATGAAAAAAGGAAAACAAAAAAAAACAAAAACAAAAAGAGAGAGAGAAGAAGAATTGATTCAATCTCAAAAAGGAGGTATTAATAAGTTTTTTAGGAGTAATACACAAACAGAGAGTTTAGTTGAAGATTTGGTGAATGAAGAACATATGAATGCGAAAGCAAATGAAGAAAATCTCAATGAACATGAAGATTTAATGAATGAAGATCATAGGAAGTTAGTCAATGAACATGAAGATTTAATGAATGAAGGTTGCACAATGCACATGCGCACAATTATATTAGCTATAGAATTTGAAAATATCGTACTGGAATCCTTTTTGGCTTTTTCCAATCTGAAATTGATTTTCTTGATTCCGTGTGTTTATGGAATCCTTTATCTCCTTTTTGATCAATTTGAATCTAATGTCATTGGTCTGGTTGATTATAGAATTTTGAAAATTTATGGGACGCTTGAAATAGGAGATTTTCCCCTTACCTTAGAGGCTTTGAACAATCTTCCGTACAGTCTAAAACCTCCATTCTTTTTCTGATTATGAAGATCTCAGCCTTGCTAGGATTGCTATTTATATAATTATATGTCCAAGTGTAAATGATTGTGTTCCAAGTATATAGATATTATATATAGTATGATAAAATCATAAAAACAGTACTGATGAACAATAAGGAAAATTACAAAGTTTTTTTTTTTAAATATTTGTGGTCAATTATTGCTTATGTGATAGAAAAAATAAAAACTAAAAAATTAAAGAGAACCAAAATGGAGAATCAGACTAAAACCTCCATTCTTTTTTCTGATTAATTAGGTTAAGGAAAATATGAAAAGAATCAAACATTGTTGATTTTTGTCAAACAATTATGAACCACTTTTTTTGCTTTGCATTGAGGTAATATCTATATTTTATTTCAGCAACCTGAATCAATTCATTGCATTGCATTGAGGTAATCTATATTTTATTTCTGCAAAACAAATATTTTTTTATTTCTATAACTTCTATTTCTGTTTTTTTTTGGTCAATTATTTCTACAAGAAAATAATCTGGGCATGAAAAAAGGGAGGGGGGGGGGGGGGAATGAGAGAAGAATAATTGATTCAATCTCAAAAAGGCGTTATTCATAAGTTTTTAGGAACAATACACAAATAGAGAGTTTAGATGAAGATTTGGTGAATGGAGAACATAGGAATGAAGAAAATCTTAATGAACATGGAGATTTAATGAATGAATATAGGAATGAGAATCAAAATGAAGAAAATGTGAATGAACTTGAAGGTTTGGTAATGAAGAACATGTGAATGACAATGATAATCTTCCCTTGAACATTAATGATCCAGCAAATTGGAGAAACATTGATAAAAGATTGGGAGATTTATTAGTTGAAAGAGGTCCTCCAAGAGATGCTAAACTTGAAGCTTTTCAAAGTTGAACTTAATCAAATCATGCTTGCGGTCTACGATGACACAAGAGAGATTGAATGGATTGGCTATCTTATCTATTGAAAAAGATATATTAGAGAAACTTGATTGGAGCACTTTAATTGATAATTTTGCAACTCAAAATGTAAGACGATCACATTTACTTTAATGAAAATTTCACACTTTTATAAATTATTTTTGCGCGTGTGAAACATTATGTAGAAAGGGCCTCACATTTAAAGTTCACCTAGGGCCTCTCAAGATTTTTTTCAATCTCAGGGCCGGCCCATACTATGTATGTAGAACAATATCTGCATCTAATAAATCTATACGGATACAATAGTTGTAATTGTATTTTTATTCGAATAGTTGTAATTCTATTATCTAGGGATCGTTTGGATTGATGGAATTACAGGTAGATTTTGTGAAATACTGGAACCCTGGTCTCTCTCTTCGTATACTTTTTTCTTCTTCTCTGAACTCTGAACTCTGGTCTCAACTTTGTCCGCCTCTCTCTACTTCTTCTTCTTCTTCTTCTTTTTTAATTTGTTTGTTTATGTGTTTTCTTTATACTGCTTTGTTTGTGTGTGTGTGTGTGTGTGTGTTTTATTGCTGCTCTTTTGTCTCTCTATGTGTTTTTCCCTTTGATTTTAGGAGTGAAAATTTATATTTAATTCTTTAGTTTCATTCATTTTTTTTTTTTTTTTTTTTTTTAAAAATTGGATGTATGGATTTATTTTTGTTGTTCTTGAATGGTTGAATGATATGGTTCTGAATGCTTGGATGATATGGTTTATAGTTTTATTTTTGCATGTTTGATAATATTTGTATTTAGAATATTGACTTTGGGATATGAAATTTCTTGTAGTAATTTTATTTTTCAATTGCGCGAGCATTGCACCTAGGCTTCAAGAGACCTTCAGTGCCTTAGTGTGCCTTGGGCCTTTGATAACTATGTTTTGGAGTAATGTTGATTCTCTCCTGAAATCTATGGCATGTCTTTTCATCTCAGCATCGAGTTTGGGGTTTAGCTACATCAATACCCTAACACTGTGTTTGATTAGTGAAGTATTTGTTGAGGGGATTATTTCTTCTCCCCCCCTTTTTTTGGGGATTCGGGATGAACTTGTTTTTAATTTAGGTTTAAAAATTTTTAACTTGTAAATCTTGTGTTGAAAACAATGATAATTTGGCATCATGGCATTTAATCATGGATTTGATTCTTTGAGTTATGGTGCCATTCTATTAATTTTAAAAGCAGGAAGGTGAACGAAAAATGGTGGCATCTTCTGCTTCCTCTTTGAAAGAGTATCTCAAAAGATATGAAAATAGCAATGAAGAGGAAAAGAAAAAGAAGAAGAAAAAGAAGAAGGTTAAACCTGATGGATCAGGTGTAGTTGTTGTTGACGAAGATCCTGTTTGGCAAAAGCCTGTAAAGCTTGAAGAAGAAAATGATGATTCATCTGGCAAGTAACAAATATGATTTCCCTTAAATAATTTTTAATTACTGAGGGTGAGTTTTATTGTGTTGATGAAAATGTAAGTGGCCTCTTATACAGATGAAGAGAAGCCCCAGGTTGACGAAGATATCGAAGTCAAGCGTATGAAGAGGCTAGAGCAACTTAAATCTAGACGTCCTTTTGGTGCCATTTCTGAGGATGGAAGTGGTTGGGTTTCAGTCTCTGATAATCCTAAAGACTTAAATTCTGAATACCAAAATTCTGATATGTCTTCACCTCGGAAACGGAGGTCTTGTAATGACACACCTTCACCAGAACCTGAACTGAAGCCTTCAGGGCATGGTAGAGAACTTGCCGATTCATCACCATCATTGCAGCGACGGAAGCATCATTACACTCCATCACCAGAAGGACCTGAACCTGAAAGAAAACCATCACATTCTTCTGGCCAGGATCCTAAACATCTTATTTCTAATAGCCAAGATTTTGATATTTCTCCCCCTCGTAAACAGAGGACTCGGTATGACACACCTTCACCAGACCCCAATCTAAGGCCTTCAGAGCCTGACAGAGTGGTTACTGATTTGTCACCACCTCGGCGGCAACAGAAACATCATCATACTCAATCACCACAGTCTGAAATGAAGGCATCACGTTCCTCTGGCCCAGATCCTGATTTTTCCCCTCCTCGTCGTCCTCGCCGATCAAATCACCATTCAACTGAAATAGATGCTTCCCGTGTGTCTTCAGTTTCAGATCTTTCTCCCCCTAGGAAAATCCGGAAGGAATCATCTTCTCTGAAAGAGAAACCAAAAACTGGTTTGCTTACTGGCCGAGATATCAAAGAGGAGAATACTAAGACTAAGAGAGATGACTGGTTGAGGTAATTAATCTTGTTATTTAGCTACATGCCTTTCCTATGTTTTTTTTCTTTCGAAACACTTGTGTAACTGAGTTGATATTGCTATTCTTGTATGTAATTAGTCTGTTTACTTAAACTCATTAAGAGTAGACACATTATATGAATATCTATGAATGAGAACTCTTAAGCTGAGGAAAACCTAGATGTCATTCATTGCAAACCACAAGTTCCTTGATTACCGACTCTTTGGGCCCCCGGGCTGACTCGACGTCAGAAATAATAAAAGTAACTGTTGAATAGCCTAGCCAAATAGGATATAGAGTGAGTTAAATTTGTTGTAGAGCAAAAAAAAATCCCAGTGAAGTAGGGAGTCCCATTCCCTAAGAAAATTAGCTATATGAAATCCTCAATATATAGAAAAGACAAAAACCACATTGAAGTGGAAAGTGTCACAATTGAACTTGTGATGCACAAGTACTGACTCATTCTCAATAGGGAAATGATGAGTATGACTTCCTAGAAGATTTTTACATTGGTGTTGTGGTAGTATTTCCTTTCTGGCGGTAGTATGCTCTTTCGAAGCAATTAGGTGGTTCATATGTAGCCCAACATAACCAGGCACAGGATCGGATTGTCCTGCCCCAATGCCTGGACCCACTGTCCATCTTTTTCCCTAGGCCAAATTAAATTAACAATATGGTGACAACAGTTCACGGTCACAGTCTAGAGCTTTGAAACCAGAAATATGAAACTTACTTTTACTTTTGATACGGTTTAGTTACAGGATTGAAACCGGCTGCTTCATATGGTCTATCAATTTTGACCATGATTGATTTTATTTAGGTTTACAGGTAGTCAAATATGTAGTAGCAATTTTTCTAATACATGATAGCTTGGATACAGTTCTAAGTCCACACAAATAAGTTCACACTTTCTACGTCTACACTTTTTTCTCGGAAGTTGTATTGGATTGGAGAATGAGTCATATTCCTGAGTGCATAAACTAAGATAATTGTTTTTGAAAAAAGTTAAAAAGTTTAGACGTAGGGAGCTAAAACTAAATTCATATTTAAGCACCTATTGGTTGGTGGTCAACAGTGGAGAATCAGCCCTATGGATTTTAGGGAGCTAAATATAGTGTATTCTCATCTTTTATTTTATTTTTTATTTATTCTTTTTCTCCCGTAAAACTTTGCGACTGCTTCTGCTATTTCTTGATGCAGCTTTAAGCTATGTTACATGGACACTTCAAAAGTAGTGAAGTACCCGTGTCGGAGACCAATTGCTCAGACATGGGTATGGGATATGTGTCTGAAAATTTTTGTTGGACGTGTACTTAAAAAGCATATCCAATCATTCAATTACATTATATTATTACTTTTAAATAAGTTAAATGCCTATATTGAACATTTTATTTGATAAAAACAATACTTTACTCTAGAAAATAAAATAATTAATAAAATGAATATTTAGCCATGTCCGTGTGTCCTTCTATTTGGAGATTTGACATGTCCGACACATGGATACATACCCGTGTCCGACACAAGTACCCAAGTCCATGTAACATAGGCTTTAAGTACTAAAATATTGACACATTTTTCTTCCAGTACTTACTGTTGTAACTTGATTAGACTTTTGTCTAACAGTTGGTCTTTTTCACCTGAATGTGTTTGTATCTTGTTTTTGGGGGAAGGGCATAGAGCTGCAGATAAAAAGTTACTGATATATATAGTGGTTGGATTTTATTTGGTTCTTGTGTAACTAATACTTGGTTTCCCTTGGCTGTTCGTTTGTTCTCATTCAATCAATTGTATTATATTAATTTTATTGTAATTATGGGTAGAGGAAAAATATATGAAGTGGTCTTCTTTAATATGTTGCTATCTTTTATAAATTGGTTGGTTCATTAAATTGACAACTAACTTTTCTCATATATCACAGGTTTAAAAATATGGATCCTTCTATTAGTGGTCGAGGTGCTGAAGGTGTATATCGTGATAAAATAACAGGTCAGTGAGAAACTATTTCCTAAGTGATTCTTTATTACTTTCTGGGGGAAAAAAAAAGTGATTATTTTGCTATAGACTTTTTTTTTTTATTTTTTATTTTTTATTTTTTATATATGGGTATCACTCCATGTTGCAGGAGAACGCATATCAAAGGATCAGTTACTAAAATCATCGCAAAAAGAAGAAAAGCCTAAGGTAAGATCTATCGACTCTCATGTTTGGATTGTGGTATAATGTGACTCTTTACTGGAACTTTTAATTATCAATATTGGTATTATAACTAGTCTAAAGTAATCAATATTGTGATTCGTACAATGTTCGGGATAATCAGTGACTAAAAGGTAGAAGGAATAGAGGTGATGCAGAAGAGACATTTTCATGTATCCTAAAGACACTCTTATCATTAAGACATTTTCATGTATCATAACTAGTCTAAAGTAATCAGTATTGTGATTCATAAAATGTTTGGCGTAATTATTGACTAAAGTGTAGAAGGAAGAGAGGTGATGCACAAGAGACATTTTCATGTATCATTAAGACACTTTATCTTGCAAGATCTAAGACTGAGCAAATCTTTTTGTGAGCAGACGTGATATTATAAGCAATGGTGTTAGTTGTAGCTTTGTTTGGTACAATTTTAGCTTATTTGAAATTCATCAACTAAAATGCTAATATACCCAATTCTTAGTTGTTTAACAAGATCATGGACGGGGATGCTGTTATCTGGCACAACTAAACCTATGACATGCTGATATGATCAAGGTTTAAAATTGTGATGCGGTCGCAGCGTAATAGACGCTTGGTATAACGGGCGTTTTACATAACAGTACCAGAAACTGCGGTCGTGAATTTTTTTCAAACTTGCACAACATGACGTAAACACACGGATGTATTTTTAACTCCAAAGTCTTATGAATATAAATTTGTAATGATTTTTAGTTGATTTGATGAATATTTAAAGGTGTTTCAAACTTTCAATATGAGTTTTGGATATACATTGTATTTTAAGCCGTTGTTGGCAATTTAAACATACAAATATGGGGTTTCCACTTAATTTATGATTTTTGATGTTCTTAAAATCTTAAATATGAAATACATAGAGAAGTACTTAATTAAAAAGGAACCTAGCCTGAAATACATAGAGAAGTACTAATTAGAGATTCTTGGAGGACAACCCCCCTTTGGTTGTGGTGGGGCTTGTCGCAAGAAAGAAGTAAAAGATCCTTTGAAGGAAAGGAGATTCCTATTTGGTTCCAAAATTCCCTATTCTGAGTTATTTTATTTTATTATTATTATTATTTTTTGGATTCGTGGGTAGAACTGAAAATCTATAGAGGATATTATGAATTTTGTGGATAGGTTGAGAATAGTATAGAGGCACTTTGGGGCTTTTTGTGCATTCGTAAGTGGTTGACCTTTCTTTAATGAAATATTACTTATCAAAAATTAAAAAAGGAAGTTAATATTTACATGATTGTATGAGAATATAAGAGACTTACACATTTACCCCTTTGAAGTCTCCTAATTATTTTTTGTTCAGAAGTCAATAGTTTTGACATCCTTGACCGCTGTAACTCTGTTTCCATCATTCTATGAAAAGGAAGTGTTTCATTGCACCTGTATAGCGTTCCATTGCATAAGTATCTCAATTTTTATGGATAAAACAAGTTGATATTTAGTACTGAGAAACGTGCAAAAACTATTTGCAAACAATTTATGAATACAAATCAAGAATTGTATAATAGATTATTTTGTCTTATTTGATCTTAGATCAATGCAAGTTTCCCAGTCACATCTATGAAATATTAGATATTAGATACTATTGTTGCAAATACCTGAAAATTCTCTATCTTATTCAAGCATTGGATGGCATTTGTGTTAATAACTTGTGTATTACCATGTATGGGGCAACATAGATTGCATGTCTCAATTGTTATAAAAATTTAAGCACAATTGATTTTTAAATTAAACTTCCTTTTAAGCATTAAGATTGCCTTATCCTTTGTAGGCATATGTCGGAAGAAGATGAAAGGTGTGTAAATTTTTTTTTTTGGTTTTTAATTATTTATTATTTATGATCAAACAATTAAAGAATCCCTAACCCCCTTGATCCCCTCCCTTATTTTGAACCCGACCTCTATCAACTAAGCTGTCTGAGGGCCAACTAAAATAGCCCCCAGTCCCCCAATATTGTAAGGTTGAAGGCCAACCTGGCTGCTGATAGAGAATGCTAAGCACTTCTTTAGTTGATTTTTCAATATATCTATTTTTAAAATACAAAAGTGCATTTGGTTACATCTAAAGGAGCAACTCTTTTTTTTTTCGCAAAAAACATAGAGACAAGTTTTGGTTAAATTTAGCGTTTGGATTGTTCTGGATCATCTGGTGTTTTATTATTGTTTGGTGGTGATGTTGGCGCTGATTTTAGAAAAGTAGCAGATTATTGTAAAAAGCAGTTAATTTGATACAACTGGCTGTACAATAAAGGAGGTGTATGTTTAAAGCTGAAGAAGGTGCTGAAAGATGTGGATCGAATAAGTGAAACAAGACGTGGGTGCTTTTGATCTGACAGAGGATCGATTTTATTATTTGAATTTTTATTGGATTGATATGCACATGCCAGGAACTTATCCAGCCCACTTTATGGTTTATTTCAATGTCCTTTTGTACATCGTTTGCTGCTCTAAAACTTTCATGTAAGGTGGTAGAAGTTTGCTTACATGATCCTTTGCGTTAAGTTTCATGATAGCCGTTACTTGCATGCTGTTACTTTTCAGACTTAGGACATCTCTTGATTGTGGAGTCCTGTTGCTCAAACTGCCTGCAGTTATGACTTTCGCTTGGAATTGTTACTTAGCAATGTGATGGAGATTGTAGGAGTAGGCATTGGTACAGGTTTTGTTGGGTATATTATTTATGTATTTTCTTATTTTATTTTTGCGGGTTTCTAAATTTGTACGGTTTTAGGTTGTGTTACCCATAAAGGGCCCTATTGTAACAAGAATTATTCAGACTTGATATTGAGATTTCTTGTAAGTTTTCAGAAAGTACTCTTCCCCGTTCTTCTCACTCCTTCTCTCTGTCTTTTCATTCCCTTCTCTCTTCGCATCTCCTTCTGTGTCTACTACCTTCTTTCTTCTGATCCCCTTATATTCTCATCCTAAATTAGTTTGGTATCAGAGCATTCGTCGATCTACATGGTATTAAGCCTTTTTTGTCCTGCATCACAATGCCTCTTTTATTGTTTCATATTTTTCAAATGTCTATTATGCTGCAATTGCCTTTTATTGTTTCCATTAGTTACAACTTAAAATGGAAATTTTTTTATTTTTTTATTTTTTTATTTTTTTTTTAAGTTAATTTAATTTTTTTATGATAGAATGCTAAAAGTTCTCTCTCTCTCTCTCTCTAAAGTTTTCGTAATTGTTGGTGATGTTCTTTATCAGGAGATAAAGTTGGAATGGGGTAAGGGCTTGGCTCAAAAGCGTGAAGCTGAAGCAAAGCAGCAGGAATTAGAACTTGAGAAGGACAAACCATTTGCACGGACAAGGTAAAATTGAATGGTTAGAACAACTTATGCATCCTTCATGAAGAATTTATTCTTTTTACTCTTTAGTGTTCCATTTTATTGATGTCATTTTATTATTTTTAATTTGTATATATATATATATATGTATATATATATATTTTTGGCATTGATCGACCATATATTTGAAGAGAGTGATACACTTAGTCATGGTACAAGAACTAGTGTTTCTGGGCACAACTTATGGTTCTGTATGGCAGAACAACCCTGCAATTTGGTCATCACTTTGTTGTAAAAAAAATTTGATTTGTGACATAGTCTTGGTTTGCCTTTGATTCCCATTTGTTTGTTATAGATCACCTGTTTGATGAACTCTTATGTCAAAATTTTTGTATGTGCTTCATGTTTCCTTCTGCTCTTAATGGCGGTTGTCAAATCACTACACAATGACTTTTCGTTCTTTTTTTTTTTTTTTTTCTTTTTCTTTTTTCTTTTTTTAATTCAGCTCTTTATGTGTCTAATTCGTCTCTTGTTTGCAGAGATGATCCAGAAATCGACAGGATGCTAAAGGACAGGGTTAGGTGGGGTGATCCTATGGCACATTTGGTCAAGGTAATAATGATTTGCTTAAATGGTTGCTAAAAATTGTTAGTAGTTTTAAATTTGTTAATGACATTTTCTCCCCCATTATCGCAGAGAAGAGATTCTGAGCTTGTTCTTCCAGACCTTGGAGATAATGAGAAGATGAAAGAGTCTGGGTTTATAATTCCTCAGGACGTTCCAAGTCATAGCTGGATTAAAAGAGGATTAGATGCTGCACCCAACCGCTATGGCATCAAACCAGGGAGACACTGGGATGGTGTTGATCGTAGTACTGGTTGGTTTAGTTCTACCTTCTTTTTTTCTTAGTTGGTGGCACTCACACACAAATGCTAGGCTCGAACCCCTGACATCTCTTTGGGAAGTAGGGGCCTGATTTAGTTCTACCTCTCTTCAGTCTGACACTCACTTTATTTCATGCACAAAATTTACTATAAATCTACTTACCGGGATAAAAAAGAAAATCTGCTATAAACCTGGTCGCGAATCTTCCCTGTTTTATTTGCTTTGGTAAGCCAATGATGTGAAAACGTCCACCAAGTGTTCACCAACACTGACGACGGGGAAGATTCTTCTTGTTTTGGATGAAAAGTAGGATTGAAGAAATTATGATAAAACTAAATGAGCTGTTCTAAATTGTATTTATATTAGTCATTTAATTAGTTTATGTTGTTACGCATCTTGCAGGATTCGAGAAAGATATGTTCAAAAGGAAGAATGAGAAACAGGCTACAGAAAGGGAGGCATATCTGTGGTCTGTATCCGATATGTGAAAAGTTTACCGAAGAAAGAAGATTCAAATTTAACATACCGCTATGGAACGACGAGGAGGATTCACAGAACCCGGTGTTTCTTTTAAACCGCAAATGGTGATTGACAGTGGTGCTTGCTTGTGGCCTTGTTGGAGCTTCCTATATCTCTCAGTACCTTGATGGAAATTGTGACCTAATAATGGAGGGTTCAATTTCAGACAGTCGAATAGTTGAGCATGTGCATCTGAAATTTAGCAAATCTCATTCTACTAAATTTGAATGAATAGTTTTGTAAGAGTAGTCTTGTTGAATTAAAAATGCTAGTGTTGGGTTGATCAACTGCTGTAAACCCAAATAAGGTCTGGTAAATGACAACAATGCCCTCGCCAACCATGATTACCTTTCCCCCAAAAAAAAGAAAAATCATTATAAATTTGTTATTGAAAAGGCAAATGTGAACTTGGTGTGGTGAAATTCAGGAGTAATTGTGGAAATGCTCTTCAACTTGGGACACAAAGATGGAAGGAAAAAAAAATTAGTAGTTCTGCAGTCTGAAATTACCCAAGCCGCGGTAAAGAATTCACAATACATCACAAAAAAATAATAATAATAATAATAAAAAAATTTCGATATGGATTTTGGGAAGAATCAGAGGCCATGGTGTTTTTGAAGTTGATCCATGTATGAAGAGATAGAGAGAGAGAAGGAAACCCTAATTTAGACAGAGAGAGGAGGAAAGGAGGCTAGGTGTAACGGGTGGGCGCTTGCCCATTTACCCAAAAGCTTGAACTGTTAGGTAAGGCTGCATACTCACCCATTTATACCCAATCTCTTTCCCACCTTCCGGGCCGGGCGCTTGGCGTGGCACCGGATCAAGGACTGGATTTGGCTCTGATACTAACTGTAACGGGTGGGCGCTTGCCCATTTACCTAAAAACTCGAACTGTTAGGTAAGGTTGCATATCCACCCATTTATACCCAATCTATTTCCCATCCGATTCCGATGTGGGACAAAATGACCCTCGTTACACTAGGGGTATTATTGATAGATTTGGGCATAGAGAGAATAAATTAATAGGAAATGAAATAACTACCCCTATGCTTCTCTTTGGGAAGAAAAACTTCCTTGTATCTTAAATATTTCATCATTAGTGTTATTAACCAATTGTACCATGTCACATAAGTAAAAATAATTTATTTTAATGAGTTATATCACTACATGAATTATATAATTAGTTGGTGATACCACAACTGAATACAATTTAGACTATTGAGTTTTTCTCCTGGTAGAAAATAAATACCTAATCGTAATCAAACACCTAAATCTTACATGTATCACAGCAACTTTAAATTGTTTAATGCAATAATTTTAAATCAAACAACAATTAAATTGTTTAGTTAATCAAAATAAAGACTTGTTGTGTACACGTTCACGTACATTTGTGTGTGTGCACATATATGATATATATACACACACATGTATACATGTACATAACATACATATCAAGTCTCGAGTAATATATGGTTAGGTAGCTACTGGAGAGAAAGGCAATGGTGTTACTCTGGTATCTAACGGCATTTTGAAACTCCATCTTTCCCGCCAAATTGAGAAGAAAAACCATGTCGGTTAGGCTAAAATCCTCCAGAGTCCGCTTATCCTCACAATCTCTTCAAAAACTGATCGAAACCCAGAAAAACCTTCCCAAATCATCACCAAAACTCTGGACCGATCCGGTGAACAACGAACTCGCCGAGGCCGACGACAACAGAGGGGTGCGCACGTTGACTCTGAGCCACCCCATTCTGCGCATCTTAGAATCATGCAATGGTACATTGAAAGAATTCAACCAAGTCCATGCCCAACTCATCGTCTCTGGCCTCTTCCAACACCCTCTGGCCTCGAGCCGAGTAGTAAAGAAGCTCTGTTCATCGCCATCTATGGTCCCTCACGCGGTCGCTCTCTTCGACCTTTTGGAAGAGCCAGATGCATTCATATGCAACACCATTATGAGGAGTTACATAATCATGAACGACCCACATCGTGCTCTCACTTTTTTCTATCATCAAATGATTGGTAAATGTGTTGCCCCAAATCATTACACCTACCCATTGTTGGTGAAGGTTTGCTCAGAGCTCGGTTTGGTTAGAGAAGGGGAGAAGAGCCATGCCCGGGTTGTGAAATTTGGGTTTGAGTTGGATTTATATGTTCGTAATTCCTTGATTCATTTTTACTCTGTTTGTGGAAGAATTGAGGATGCTTGCGAAGTGTTTGATTTAAGTTCTGAATCAGATTTGGTGACTTGGAATTCGATGATCAGTGGGTTTGTAAAGAATGGGGAAGTGGGTGTGGCGCGTGGGCTATTCGATGTAATGCCTGAGAGAGATGTTTTTAGTTGGAATTCGATTATTGCAGGTTATGTGGGGATTGAGGATATGGAGGAGGCAAAGAATTTGCTTGAGAAGATGCCGTATAAAGATGTGGTTTCCTGTAATTATTTGATTGATTGGTATGCAAGGGTAAGAAATGTTGCAGCTGCTCGTGAGGTTTTCGATTGGATGCCATTGCGGAATGTTGTTTCTTGGAATACCATGTTGGCTCTTTATGTGCGGTCCAAGGATTACAGCGAGTGTTTGAGATTATTTGACAGGATGATGGAAGGAGGAGATGCCAAGCCAACTGAGGCTACTTTTACGAGTGTGTTGAGTGCCTGTGCACACCTAAAGAGGCTTGATGTAGGCGAATGGGTTCATTCTTACATACAAAATAATAGGAACATTGAACTTGATGTCCTACTTTCAACATCTCTCTTGACAATGTACGCAAAATGTGGGGCTATGGATTTGGCTAGAGACGTCTTTGATAAGATGCCAGAGAGAAGTGTTGTATCATGGAATTCCATAATTATGGGGTATGGAATGCGTGGGCATGGAGATAAAGCACTTGAAATGTTCCTGGAGATGGAGAAGAGAGGAATAATGCCAAATGATGCTACTTTTGTATGCCTTTTAAGCGCATGTACTCATGCAGGAATGGTTTTGGAGGGTTGGTGGCACTTTGACCGAATGTGTCGAGTTTACAAGATCGAGCCAAAGGTTGAGCACTTTGGTTGCATGGTCGATCTACTTGGACAGGCTGGTTTAATGAAAGATTCTGAAAAGCTCATCAGGAAGGTGCCTATGAAGGCTGGACCTGCTTTATGGGGAGCTTTGCTTTCAGCATGCAGGACACACTCAAATCTTGAGCTTGGAGAAGTTGTGGCTAAGCGGCTAATTGAGTTGAAACCAGGGGATATTGGGCCCTATGTGTTGTTATCTAACATATATGCCGCAGAAGGGAGATGGGATGATGTAGAAAAAGTGAGAAAGATAATGATGAAAAATGAGTTAGGGAAAGTGGCAGGGTCTAGCTTGGCTCACTTAGAAGATTGTGGGACTCGATCTTTTCATGGAAGTGATCTGGTCCATAAGAAAAGCATGGTGTACTCCATGTTGAGAGAGATGGGTGCTCAAATGAAATTGCCATGCAGAAGTATGATGGGGTAGGGAGAGTTCAGGTTTAAGAGACAAGCTGTGATATGTAAAGTTAAAGAAGCAAGATTACTTGAAAAAAATTATTTCCGTACCTAGTTTTGTAAATTGAACAACACACATATTCGGCGAAGTCTAAATAATCAATGGCAATCATGTGCTGGTTTGGCTTGCAGAGTTTTGTGAAGATTGAGAAGAATATTGGTCCATTGTGACGTGGATGTCATGGGTCCGAAACTCGAAACAGCCTCTCCATGCGAAGGTGAGGCTGCAATGGCAGGAGCCTTATGCACTGGGCTAGCCCTTTCTATTGGTCATTGTTCAGAACAACACAAAATATAGCCTTATACAGAGAGGAATAGCAAAGCACAATTCCTGAAGATTTCAAAGGTGAGGGCAAGAGCTTTGTTCATTTGAGTTGAGTGTTATACTGGTTTGCTCATATGGTATTCTAGTCATTACTTAAAGTTACTCTTGGGGATGATTACCATTTGTGGATCTTTTTCTCATGTTGTGCTTCTGACTTCTGTAGTCATGAAATGTTGCTTTTCTCCATATTTGTGATTTCTTGTTTCCCATTCGTTTCTCGAGTTCATCTTGATGGTTAATTTACCTTTGAAGCCTGCTGTTGGATCCTAGACTTGACAGTGGAGATTGTTATATGTGAGTTGTGACTGAAAATTCAATGTCATTGAAATAATTCTCATTTCACTACCTAGTATCAACTAACCTACTGATATTCCTGAATAGAACTTATTATGCACTACTAGGATTCAAAATAAACACCAGTGCTTGTTTGTGTGTGTGTGTGTGTGTTCTTTATAGTTGGAAAAGGGATTTTAGCATATGCATATTGGCACGAGGATGCCCTGTTTCTCTATTGGGATGGTCAGCAATGCAGAAAAATTGCAGCAGTAAACATTACCGTCTAAACCAACTGCTGTAAGTAAACCAAATTCAACTCTTATTATTCCATTTTGAATTTTATTTGTCAGCAAACCGATGATTACAATCAAGAACTTGTCCATGCCTATTCTAACCTCTAAAAGAAATAATTTAACTGCTAAGAATGTAGGAAAAATAAACAACATATGCATGAAGAATCAAAGGGCCTTTTTTCAGTGAGATAATGAAATCAATGAACTATAGAGTCCATTGTAACTGGTTTATAAGTTAACTTGTACTCCTGAGTCACATACATCTCCAGCTTTCCAGTTTTCAGGTATGTTGTTAACTGGAACAACCCATGTCTCATCTCCTTCGTTACTGCTGAATAACATCCTTATCTGCAAGGGTCCACTAGGGGGCGAAGTAGTCGTCCATACTGCTCCATAACTCCGATCCAATAGCTTGCACACGAAATTTTGTGTCTGCATAAATTCAATATGTAGTATGTCAGCGTTTAAAACCGAACTCAACAAATCTTTTTCCTAACTCCTTGGAATGGTTCTCGATTTTTAATACAATAAAATGAAATAAATCGAAGATTAACCAAATATGATGCACATGTTTTTTTTTGCAACTAGTTCAACTAATATTACTTTATGATGGACAAGTTATGTCTATAGAAATAAAAAATAAGAAAAATTTAGATTATGCTTTTTGGGGGCAAAAAACATATAACTTGTGAAAAAAAGTTCAACAGGTTCCAAAAAATGAAAACACCGTCACATTGAAAGGAAGGCATAATGGGTATTAGACCAGATGGTATGATCTCTCCTCTCTCCTCTCCAAAGGAAAGGTTAAGAGTTTGAGCCTCGTTAACTGCAATATTGTGTTTGTGAATGTGTGCATTTGCTTGAACTTTTGAAATATATATATATATATTATTGGAAGGAAGAGGGAAATACCTCACAGAGCTGCACAGCAGTGATGTCCATTTTTCCTTGTTGATACCATATAACAAAAGCCAGGTAATGAGGGTAGTTGCTATTCTCATCAATCTTGAAAGTAATATTTTTGTTTGGATAACTGCATGGAACACTGTTTGAAAACAGAGAGATCATTGTGTTAGTCAATACCATTACCTTTTCTTTGAACTTTGACAAATCATAATTTTTTTAAAAAAAGAAAATAAACCTTTTATGGGTATGTTAGAAACAACTTAAGGATAATGACTTCTTTATACAATCTTCTTTAATGGTATGCAACAAGGGATGTTAAAAGTTCAATAATAACCACTAAAAAGAGATATCACCTCCCTCATAAAATTGAAGTCTTGTTGATAGAGAAATCATTTTCTCAATACTCAAAAAGAGAGACATAAAGAAATCATTTCCAAAAACACACAAATTATTCAATTGCTCTTAATTAGAAATCATTTTTCCTTTCTAGTTGAATCTGTAAACTTGCTCTATATGCATATCTTACCGTTGATATTCAATATCAACCACACCAAGGGCTAGCAGTGATGCAGCTGCATCTTTGGTCTGAGCCATCCGACCAAAGGCTTTCCTACTCAGGATAAAGTCGGTCCGGTCACTTGAGCCATGGTCAGTTATAACTACAGTCACTCCATTATCTGAGCAATAGTGACTGTCCTTGCATCTTACCTAGTGAGGCAAAAAGAAAGAGTAATGACATGGTTAAGGACTATAATCACTATAAAAACCATAGAATGTTCACGTCTGCTTTGTTCAGTTTTCCGTTTTCAGAAAATTGAAAATCAGAAAACTGTAGAAAAACTTGTTTGGTTTTAGTTTTCTGAAAACTCAATTAAAAATTGTCTGTTTTTAGAGAACTGTACGTCTTTTGTAGTTCTTAGAAAACTAAACCAAGCAGGTTCGTATTTTGATTCAGTGTGATGTTTCTTTTTATGAATGATGCTCACCTGGTAGCAAGCACCACAGCCTACACCATCTCGATACAGATCAGATGCAGCCGATACATCCCCACCATTGATTGTTGCTCCAAATGAACCAAATCCACATGCTCCAGCTGCAAACAAATAAAAAATGTATAAAATTTCCATAGAAAATAAACATCAACTTGTGTGTGTTTGTGTGTGTGTAATTTGCATTCTCACTTTCTGTTCCTTGTTCATCAGAATTTGGATAGTAAGCCGCCCGAGACTGGATGAATGTGGCAGCATCTCCCTGCAGAGCTTGCATAAGAAGTAAAGTTGCCGCTACGAACACAAGAGACTGTCGAGAGAGAGCCATTTCAGACAATGAAAGAGAGTTCTGAATATGAAACCAAAGGAGGAGAAGAAGGTGGTTGTGCATGAAGTGAACGATATATGGTACTATTTATAGTGAAACAACACCTTCAGTTTGGTAAAAACTCAAGACTTTGACATTCTGTTCAAATTTCATTTTAGATGAGAATTGTTTGTCAGCATCCTTCTTTGGACTTGAATTACTGCTTGGTTTAGATAATGTAGAAAACTTCTTTCATTTTCTTTTTTGCTGATTTAATTTATTATTTTTATTATGTCAATATGTCAAAATTAGTGAAAAATTCAAAGATTCTCACAATGGTGGTTCATACACACTTTTCTTTTGCCATATGATTCAAAGGGGGTCAATTTTTTCTATATCTAACCTAGAATTTCCATTGTACTAATGCTTTAGTATTTTATTATATATGCTTATGTCAAGAGCATATTTTTGGTAAACATTAGATGGAAAGAAGTTTACAAATTGATTAGTGTCTAACCTTATTTGTACATGTTTAATGTCTGGTTTAAGGTGTGGGGCGATTGAGCATGACTTAGCTAATAAGAGAGAGAAACTGCAAATGGTTTGAAACCTAAGTTGATTACTTTGAATGAGACAATGTACAATGGTTTTGCTTGAGATGGAAGTAAATTATAGGGTCAGGTCAGGTCGGGTCAGGTCAGTTAGGTGCTTTTGCACTAAAATATTTTCATGTTAGGCAACTTTTTATAAAAGTCCCCACCTGTACTAATTATCACGTCCAGGCTTTGATTTTGTGGGTAAAGAAGGTGTGAGGAATCTCCCATATCTTTTTTAAATAAGCAGGTTGCTCACACTACAAGAACTGTTTTGCTTTTTAGGCTTTTTTTTTTTTTTTTTTGGTGGTGATTTCTGGACAGAATGAATTCAAATAGTAGTAAGCTTATTATGATCATGTTTGTCAACCGCTTTTGCTTCATGTTTTTTTTTTTTTCGAATTGTAGTAAAGTAAAATAAGAAAGCGTATTTGATAACGTTTTCTGCAATTTAAATAGTACTGAGACGTTTCCGAAAAAGAGGCCAAAATCGGAAGCACCAATTGGAGTTTCTAATTGTTTCCTAACTGTAGCAAAAACACTTTACCACCCCCCCCCCCAAAACCAACAAAAAAAAAAAAAAAAAACCTTAAATGACCGTCTTAACTAGCCATTTTATTTTTTTAATTTGAAATTTTTTTTACCAAATATGTTTTCTTGTTCTTTTTTCTAAAAATCTTATAACAAATGTAGTGATACCAAGCATATTTCGGATTACCATTGAACATACTACAAAATAAAAAAAGTTGCTTTTGTTTTGGGTCAAAACAAGAACACGAAACAAAGGCGGTAGACAAACATGACCTATGTCAAACGTTACTGATTATATAAATGAAGATGTCTATTCAAAGTTTAGACGAGGTAATTTCGAAGGTCAAACCCATTCTGGTGGCCACCATAAGTCAATTTTTACTTCAAATCTATTTTCATTTGAGTCATGTTATGTACAGTCACGACTTGTGCAAGCTCAATCTTTAAATCTTGTAAGTCTCATAACCAGATAATGACTGAGACCCTGCAGTCGTGATTACACTTGGCATTTTTCTTTCCAGTATCCTCTTAGTCGTCTTGAAAATTTGATGTCTAGATTGTATATTTAGCTGAGAAATTTGGGTAAGCTGACTGGAAATTATGGTAACAGGTAGAGAGAATGTGTAAACTGGACAACAAAGTGGTTTAGTTAGACTGGCATGAAGCAGGTGCATTGAACCACATCAGCCATGACATGGAAAGCATTTTGGGGTTTTGGACCCCACAATGTCTAATAATGTCAATTTCATTCCTGAAAACAGGACATTTAGGTAGTCCTTTAAGGTAAATTGGTGCAAATTAGTGGTTTGGGGGACCCCTATATCTAGTAGTCTATGGTATCACAAGGATTTGAACTCTAAGAATATAAACATCATAACCTTTGAATTCAAGCCATGGTTGATCTCTTTGGTTGTTGGCATCTAGGTTTTGAATTCCTCATGGCTACTAATCTAACAGTTCCTAAAACATGTACTGTACTCTAATCCCCAGCCAACACATATGAAGGAAAAGACACATCTGACTACAGTATTTCACAAGAAAATCCGGGTGAACAATATATTATATTTTGTTCAGTTCAGAACGCACTTTATAAAAAGGTTAGGAGAATGAATGTATTTTACTCCAAACTTTTTTGTAAAGTGCATTCCGAACTGAACGGAACAGATCTTACTTTTCCACTGAATATCTAAGTGTGCAAATATATATATATATATATATATACTACCTTCTAGGTGTAACTTTTATGAAGTGTATCCATTAGCCCAGGCGGTATTTTATAATGTGCATATTTGAGTATGCAAATAGATATTTTGAGGGATTTGAATTCACAATGGGCATTTGTAGATGTGTGTGAGTATATTTATTTAATAAAAAAATTATTTAAAAAAAAAAATTCATACAAGGGTGAACTTCACATATGACAGATGTGAGCTTCTCTTCCTAAAGGGAAAAATTTTGGGGAGTGCTAAGGTTCTGGTTGTCGCGAAGTCTAAGAAAATTCAGATGTAGCATATTTATTTCCGCTCTGAAAGAGGATGTTTTCGTATTTTGAACAACCTTATCTCCTCATCGAGGGAGACTGTTTCCATATTTCAAACTTGCAATTTTACCGTTGCACCAAGACCTGCCCCATCTTACTACATTAATTGATACAAAAATATATTAAATACAATTTTTAGATGGCCATATAGTGTTTTTTTGTTTCCCCTTTAAGTGCTCTGCCTCTGAGGAGATACCCAGAATTTGAACACCCTGATAAAGCTTGGTTTGTCACCATGGAGATCATTTTTTTAATAGATGAAATAAAAGAAAAGAAGCTTCAAAAAATAATAACAGAGTGAATTAAAAAATTGATAAAAAAAAAAAAAAGGAATATAGAAAAATGCGCAGAGTGCTTAGATTACCAAAAACATCAACATGTGCAAGCTTGTTCTCAATATTAACATAGAAAATTATACTATAATCTGCATAGGGTGTTCCACAAGACAAGCAATTTACGACCCTAATACTTTTATTAATTAGTTTGCTTAGTAGAGTTACCAAACTTTACATGATTCCCGCTAAGATTTGCTTCGATGGACACACCTTTTTACACTTTTTTTAAATTTTTTAAAATTTTTATTTTATGTTAATAACCAACAATATATATATATATATATATATATGAAACTCTCACACCCTTCAAGAATTGCTTCCAGTGATATACTATATACATATACATACTTACATACTTTTAAATTTTATATTATTTTTTATATTAGTCCATAATATATTTAAAATTGTATTGAATTTCATTCTTCTCAAAAAAAAAAAAAAAAAAATGTAATTACAAAATCACCCTGCCCTATTCAAAAAGAGTCCAAAACGTGTCCTTATTGTGTCTTAACTGTGTCTAATTAGAAAATAAAATATTCAAATTTCAAGATATTTTTAACTGTATCAGACACATGTGCCGACGCCACAACACCTCTAGATGAATTATCTGTGCTTCCTAGATTGGAGCAAAAATATATATATACTCCCTCTGTCTAAAAAGAAGCCATTTTTGGAAAGTAGAAATTTTTAAGGGGATATGTAGGCTATATATTATTTCCTTAGAAAATTACTAACTTATCCTTTTAAATTTCGAATATTTAAATTTAAAATTTTATACTCCAAGAATATATATATATATATATATATATAAAAAGATGTAAAATATTATTTAATAATCGATAATGGATTTCGCTGGATATTTACTTATAAAAGTGGAGTCTTGAAGCAAGAAGACTATGAAGCAAGTATTTATCTCCGCCAACAGTTTCTTTAACAGGTGACATTGAGCTATTAAGTAATGGCCCCATCAATAGGTAACAAGTTCATAAATTATAATTTATATATATAATTTTGCCCCATCAATAGGTAACAAGTTCATAAATTATAATTTATATAAACTTGTTACCTATTATATTTGGTTCCATAACCTATATAAACGCAAAGTTAGGGTCACAATCATGGAGGTCGTAGTTCTTAATTTTAAATATATATAATAGTAACTATATATATAGCTTGACATGTTGTTTTGCCTATGTATCACTTTTAGGCGAAAGCATGATGTGAACACATACATGAAAGCAACATCCAACAGCACAAGTTATTTATTTTATGTAGCCTAAAATATCTTTTCCATTTTTTTTAATTTTTAAAAAACCAGAAATTGGCAGATCCATCATTACTCTTTGATCAAAACAGAATGTTATTGTTTCCTTTCCTTTCCTTGTTTTCATATGTACTCAAATGGGGTCTTAAGGTCAGTTCAATTTGAGTGAAATGAAGGAATAAGAAAAGAAAAGAAAGGAAAGTGAAGAGGAAAAAAAGTTAATGTACTTGGGGGCTGTTTGGTAAGTGTATTTTTTTTATTTTTTTATTTTTTATTTTTTGGTGTTTTTGTTTTCGGGTACAATGTTTTTGAAAATTTTGAGAAAAACACGTTTATTTTTTATATTTGAGAAAAGTGATCAAAAGTCAAAATACTAATTTAATATTTTTTTACATGTTTTTACATGTCCTTATTTATCACTATTTAGATTTTGAAATTACAAATTATTTGTACATTTGTGATTGGACCACATTGATAACATACTCACCAATGAGTAGGCAAGTATTTTACATGTTTTTAACCGAGCAATAACAATCTATCATCTATCAAACCATCTAAACCAGATTTTATGTAATTTGGTGTTCTTTAGATAAAAACAATTGATAAGTATATAAGAATTACACATTAAATTCTGAAAGATAAAAGTCAAAACTTCCACATATTAGGGTTTCAGCGGAGTAGTTTGAGAGAGAAAGAGAGGAAAAGTTAAATTAGGATTTGATTTGAATCTATTTAGGTTGACCTGGTAAACATTCAAATTTTTTTATTTTTATTATTTTCTATTTTAAAGACACTT